TTTTTTTTCCTTTGCTTCGTCGCAGTGATAAGAAAGTCGTGAAGCGACCTTGAGCTCATAAGCTTCTGTCTAGATTTAAAAAACCTGAAGACAATTGTCGCCGAGTTTCCTAAACCAAAAATAAAATCTTGATCACCACAACACCTGTTTTTTGAGTTGTCAGTGTTGCACCTTATTAGTCCGTAATGCGACTACTTAGTACATTTTTAACTAGGAGAACTGAAATTGAAAATGTTGGACGGATATTTTCTGCAGTATAGGAACTAACCTGAAAGACAGTATCTAGTGAAAACTGACTAAAAAGGTAACTTTCGCAAATGTATGGTCGTAGCCTTTGGGTAGTTGAATGGCCAATAGCGGCCGAGACAACATGAAAGCGTAAACAAAAGCATATCGTTTGAGAGTGGTGAAGCATAGCTGTAACTATTCATAGGTTTGACTTAATCCAAAGTAAAGAGTTAAAGAGCTTACTTAAATGGATGTAACTTGATTAGACTAATTTAACATGGCGATCGCCTTAACAATAGCAAGTAAATCACTTGGAGCTCTTAATAGCAAATGTTATATCACCTATTATAACACGATTTCCTCTTTGTTGATATTATAATCTAATGTTGAGTATAGCTTTCCATTCTAATATTCCTATCTTCCTCTCTAGGCGTCACAATCATCATCATATGGAAATTCCTAATGAATATTGCACCTCAACCTATCATACACTATCACTATCAGTAACTTATAGCTTAGTTTGTCGCTAGAAGTTGTTGAATCAATTTGAAATGTTAATCTGAAACTGATTCCTAAGTTAGATCATATCTTCAAAGTGTGTTTCCAGGCTCTGAATCTGCCATGGAGGTTGGACACAGTCTATCAGCTTAGAAATAGTTGTAAATAAATTACACAAGTTTACTAGTAGCTATAAGCAAACTTAGTTTTTGCATGCGCGTTAAAATCGTACATCAATTCTTTGATTTACCCCAAGAGATTTTTACTGAATTTTTGCAAAAAGAGAAGAATGCTTTCTAATTAGAGCACTTCTAGAAGCGCCTTTCCTGCTATGGTATTGGGCGGTGAACCGCGTATTCCCGTTAACTTGCTTCTTAGCCGTGTTTTACTCACGCAAGGAGTTAGCGAAATTCAGACTATGATGGGTGAGTTATTGATTTTGGATGAAATTTTCTGTATGATATTTTAACTAGTAGTTTCTGGCACTCCAAAGATCAATCTGTCGGTACGCTGAAGATTGTTGGTGATGAAATTACTGCATTAAAATTCTTTACTCTCGAAGATGAAATTGAATCGATTTTTTCGGTACTTTTTTCAGATGATCTGAATATACATAAGTCAATAGCGACAGCTGAGCAAACAGAACGTCTACGAAAAATGGATTCAGAGGTATCACATGATCTCGCCACTTTGAACTTGGTGACTCGTACAGATGCAGAACGGATATGTGGCATTGTAAGAATAGAGAGTGACCCTGCTCCGGAAGGAGAACCGGATGTGTAAGTTATCAACCTTTCAACGTTTCTCAGCTTAATGGTTCCACATCCACTGTGTTATGGGATGAAACATCATTTTGGCGAACCTTTTTTTACGAGCCTCGAAACGTAGTTTCCTTCCTCATAGTTCTGCACTTAAATTGTGTGACTTCAATGGGACTTCGCCGAAAATGCTCTCGCTTTTTTTTCTTATATAATTATGGAATCCAAAGTTT